GGGTGAATTGTGTCTTGTGTTCAGTCAAGCCCTTCTTGTAGAAATAGTGCAGGCAATGGCAAAGGTCTGGTGCCCCTTGTCTGAAGGGCTTGGGACAAGAAGAGTTTTAAATTTCAGAGTAAGATATTTACATATACATAATGAATTATCTCGAAGATGGGTCTCAGATCTGAATGCGAAATTTCTATGTAAGGTTTACTACAAACCGGGTGATGGTTGTACGTGCCTTTAATCCTGGTCCTCAGGAAGCAGAGTCAGGCAGATCTCTGAGTTCGAGGCCAGCCTAGTCTACAGAGTGAGTTCCAGGACAGCTAGGACTACACAGAGAAATCCTATCTTGAAAATCCAAAAGCCAAAACCAAAATCAAAACGAAACGGTTTATTACTGACCTTATATAATGTCTGAGGTTTCTTTTTCTTTTCTTGAGACACGATCTCACGTCTACTACGCTGGCCTCCATCTTGCTGTGATCCATCAGCCTCCTCTGCCTCCTGAACGCTGGAATTACAGACCTGAGTTTGTTAGTACTGGGGACTGAGACATGGGCATGTTAGGAAAGCCTCCTACCAGCCAAGCCCCTCCCCCAGCCCCTGAAAGCAATTCTGTACACTTCGGTAGCATGCCTGCAGTTTGGCTGGCACTTGTCATATGAGATGAGTGTGGAGCTTCCCACATATGTCATGATATTTCAGACTTTGGAGCATTTTGGAGGTAGAACTTTCAGAACTAAGAACTGACAATTCAGTCATTCTTTGGATAGTCTGAGATTTTCACGGAAAACATGTCCAGATTCGGGCCATCTCCAGGGCATGCTTTTGGCTTGTCATACAGCAAGTGGACGGGCATCTATGGACTCTATGGAGATGCCCCAAGGAGGAAATGCCAGCCAACGTGTGCAAGGCATTCCACAGATACTTTTCCCTGTGCCCACGTTTACCCTCCTCCACTCTGCATGGTTATGGATAAGTCCGGGAAATCTCAGTAAACAAGGAAGGCCACCACAGGAAGTAGGCCCAACTCTTGGGGTGCTTTGACCCTAATGTTTACCCCCTTGTCATTGCTGGCTGCTGGAGGGTGGCTGTGCCTTTCTCACAGGGCAGCTAACCCAGGAAGGCCACCAGAGAGATGATCTGTGAATAGATTTCTGCTTTGGTTCCTCATCGAGGACCCCTGATCCCTCCGGAAGTGGTCATGACCCTTTGCCGTGTTCCCGAGAAGCGGCTCTTCCCAGGAGACCTTCTGTGGAAGGAGGACAGTGGGAAAGTTCATGCAGGCATTTCAGGGACACGTTTGCAAGTGCCATTAGCTTAGGGGAAGCATGCCTGTTTTTCTGAAGTGCTGGGTATCACATGGCTCACTAATCAGATAGGGAGGGCCTAGCCTCCTTGTCAGGGAATCTGGTTCTGTTTTTGAAAGTGGCATTGCCATTGTGTTGTGAACAGGGCCCTCAAAAACCCGAGTGGGTGGAGATGGGAGGGGAGGCAAATGGAAAAACGGACTACACTCAGCTAGAATCAGAGTGGCTGCTTCTCAGAAACTCACTTCCCTGGGTCGCCATCTCGACCTGTTGTCCCAGAACAGGGGCAAGGAGTGAGGGCACAAACCAGAGTTCACACTCCAGGTACGTCTCGTGTTCCTTGAGGGTGGAGAAGCATGGTGTCACAGTGTCTGAGTTCCTTTGTGGGTCCTGTTACTGATCTTCCACTTTGTGGAAGGGTGAGTGGAGGCTGAGCTACGGCAAGCTCCTTGCTTGAGCTGTCTCCGGAGCAGGCATCCTGCACGGAGCATTCTACACAGGGCTCTCTCGGGTTCCTTAGGTAGAAAAGGAAGCAGGCAGTCTTGTAGAAAGAAGTGGGCCTTTGAAAGAAACATTTTCTTTCATAAAAATGAGAGTTCTGACAGTGTAGCTCAATCATTCAGAGGTCTTACCTACCGTGTGCAAGGCACTAGGTTTGATGCTCAGCACTGGGGGAGTGTGAATATGTATGTATTTAATGGTTTTAGGATCTTAAAGGGTATCATGGAGGCTGGAGAGATGACTCAAGGTTAAAGAGCACTGACTGCTCTTCTAGAGCACCCAGGTTTGGTTCCCAGCACCCACATGGTGACTCACAACAACCCATAACTCCAGTTCCAGGGGATCCGATGCCCATTCTGGCCTTTGTGGGCACCGGGCATGCACACAGTGCACAGACTTCCATGGCAGGCAAAATACCCTTACACATAAGATGAAATACATAAATCTTAAAGAAGAGTATCCCAAAGGCCATGTTTACTCCTGACAGGATAAATAGAATGAAAGAGAGCCCGTCAAGGGACAGAATGTTGAGAACTTAGCATTTATTCTCTGTAATGGGCAGATCAAAGCATCCAGTGTGTAGATGTAAACTATTTTATCCAGTCCAATATTAAGGTATTTAAAAGAATCATTATACTTAATGGGTTAGCATTATTCCCCGACTGAGCTTGTGGTTCCCAGTGTTCTCTTGAGAAATGGCTTGCCTTGTTGACCCTCAGGAAGGACGGGTGTCAGGCTTCCTGGATGAGGGCCTGGGAGTCTGACAACATCTAGCAGAGGCATGAGGTCATCCAAACTTTGTTTATCTATTGATGCATACACACGCAGGTGTAAACATGTATGCATGCATGTATGCCTATGCATAGGTGTGAATATGCATGGACAATCACAAAGCATTCATACAGGTCTACACACATGCACACAAATATGCGTGCATTTATTTATGTCTTCTCACACACACATGTAAACATGCAACTTACAACCTTGTTCTTGATTTCATTTTGTGTTCCCTGTTTTCTTCCTTCCCCCTTGTCATCTGTTTGTCCTGTTCTTGTTTGATGGCATCTTCTTGCATTTTAAGGTTTTATTGTCGTTTACTTGTTTTTCTTAGACAGGATATCACTAAGTGTCCATGACTGACTTATTCACTAGGTAGCCCAGGCTGACCTCAAACTTGTCAAGCTCCTCCTGCCTCCAACTCCTGCATGCTGGGATGACAGGTGTGTCAGCCAGGACTGGCTTGGGTATCTCTCTCTAAAGCCACTTCCAAGCTTTTGGGGAAGAGAGAGGCTAGAGATAAGGAAATAGAATAAAATACAACATGTAGAAAAAAGATAAAAGAAAATGTACCAAGTCGAATTGGTTGATTTAAAGGGTGGTGGTGGTGATTGAATGGATTTAATATTAATTTTTACCTAAAATTACCTTTATTTTAGAAAATCAGCTTTGAAGAAGGCAATTTTCCTTATGTCCCATGCTGTCTGGTGGAAGGAACATTCCTTGTCAAGCAGGGTGGGGCAGGAGGGTCTCCAGGTTTCAGCCCTATGGGTTAAATGGAAAAGCTGACCATGTTACCAGGAGAGTACAGTTGACCCATCAGATCCAAGGATTTTGCATCTGTGGATTCAATTAATTCTGGCTTCAGCCAAACCACAAATAAAAAAAAAAAAAACTGTTTGGAAAAAAATTCTGAAAAGTTACAAAATGCGCAATTGAAATTTGCCACAATGCAAGCACTAATACCAGGTCCACACAGGCAGAGTGCTGTGTGGTCCTGCATCAGGTTCTGCAAGCAAGCAATAGAGAGAGGCTGTGAGGTGTATGGAGGGGGTCTGGAGTGGAGCCCAGCTGTAGCATGCTGGGATCCAGGGATCAATTCTCAGTCTCCCTGCGAAAGTATACAGATGGACGTAGCAGACTCTGTGCACACACTAATGTAAGGAACTTAGGTGTCTGTGGATTTTTGGCATCCTACGGGTGTTCTAGAATGATGCTCACTGACACTGAGGGTGCAGATGGGAAGCAGAGAGTACACTGGAAATGGCACGTGGCTTCTGAAGCCTCAGAGCATCTCATTCACACCACACATACAGAGTGTTCTGTGGCTGGTTGGCCTCGGGCAGTCACTCAGTCACCGTGCCGAGTCGGGACATTGCAAAGCTGAGACTGAAGTATGTATATATATATACACACACACACACACACACACACACACACAAAAGATGGGCCATAGCAGTTCCAGAAGGCCTCATGTTATCAAGGAAGCCTGGTCAAGAGCCCTCCAGGGAAAGACCCTGGGATGCAAGGAAGCCGCCCGATGTAGCAACTGAAAGAAGGTCCATGTAGCTGGAGACAGAGGGCAAGACAGAGCCATCACAGGGTCCTGTTGCAGAGGTCAGCCAGGCTCTGGAAGAGCTTGTTGGTGACTTTAAACTACATTTGCAGTTCAAGAAGAAGGCACTGGAGGGTTCAAATCAGGGAGCATTGTAAGGTTGATAGACATTTTGTCTGTGTGTGATCTTCATAACAAAGTCTGTAGGTAATACAATCCCCTTTAGAAGCAACCCTGAGACTTAGGGCAGCAGAGTAGTTTACCCAGGGTACCTGTGAGGCACCAGTGGAGCCAGGGTACAGACTGAACAGCCTGAGTTCATCTTTGTCCTAAATATCAGCCTACCTTAGTAATAATATTACAGCAAGCTCAGCTTCAAAATGTTTTAAACTCTTAAGATGAAAGATTGTCCTTAAATTACGGAGTGGAATTACACCGAGGAAACCTGACTAGCCAGGAGTGAGCGGGGCTGCTGGCTGTGTTGGAAAGGTCCGTCGTACATGGCCTCATTCCAGTCTCAACGAGGCCTGGCTGTCTATTGGGGCGTCTCAGCAGCACAAAGGAGGGTTTGGCTCCTCTAGCTGGCCCTCTGACACTGCCATTGTCCACAAGGACTCCTTGTCCTCGGAATGTGCCCCAGGCCTCGGGGACTCAGATTTGATAAATCGGATCTGAGGCATTCATGCACGGTTTCACTTGTTGGTAGTTTCTCCCCGTTGGGCACTCAGCAGGCTTAAGTGCATTCCGAGACTTTGTTGGAGAGATCAGTGTCTCCAGCGGGAACCCAGGAGGCTCAGTTCAGGGTTCAAGTGGGTAAGCACCTGCTCCCGACTCTCCAGTGATGACGACAAATGTCTGTCTTTCCTCAGTTGACCATGTCGTTCCGGAGCCCGGGACCAGCCTGCTGGCGGCCTTCGATCAGTGGAGGGAGTGGGCAGACAGCAAGTCCTGCTGTGATTACTCTCTGCACGTGGACATCACCGAGTGGCACAAGGGTATCCAGGAGGAGATGGAAGCTCTGGTGAAGGACCACGGTAGGTCTCGCAAGTCCACTGCAGGTACTTGGTTCTAACCCAAAGCCTTCCTTGAAAGAGCAAGTCGTGGGGGCTTTCGGCTCCAGCTTATGCTGACTGCAGGGGCCCTAGCCCAGTGTGTTTTTTGACACTCAAGGACCATTTTAATACAATTTAAAAGGGGGAAAAAAAGCCCAAAGGTAGATAAGTTGCCTGGAGGGCAGAGGGAGAAAGAAAAGAGAGAAAAGATCATTGCTGTTTGAGTTACGCTGGCATGAGGCCAGCTACATGGCCGCCAAGCAGCCACCAGGCAGGGAGGGGAGCTGGAGAAGCAGCAGAGCTCAAAGTGGTGGAGAAAGCACACTTTGAAGAGGGATAGAAAGAGGAAGTGGAAAAGTTACGTTTTTCTGAGTGATTCAGAGAATCGGGCAGACTATAAAGCCTCACAGCTGCGGCCCTGAAACCCACTACACTAGAGAGCTGGAATTCTAGGAAGGAAAGCTCATTACCTCATTTAAAGGAATAATTATTCCTCCTATCTTTTTAGCGTGGCTTCTGGTGAACCTGCCTTCCATAGGGGAGGTCCCTTGACCAGGTATTTCCCTTTTAAGAGAGGAGGCAGTGTTTCATCTTCATCCAGAAGTAGATCTATCTCTCTCTCTCTCTCTCTCTCTCTCTCTCTCTCTCTCTCTCTCTCTTTCAGCTAGGAGGCATCAGCTTTCTCTTAATGGTCATTCAATGCTACTGTAACTTTTTCCCCCTTCTAAAGAGGTAACCCTAAAATCATTTCAGAACCAGACCCTGGCCAGAGCCTCCAAACACACTTCTGGCATTTTTGGCTCCTAGCGAGGACCATTTTCACTTCTTGAGAATACCCAGATGCTGCTGGATTTTTAACTTTCAATTCCCAGGGTCACTCTATCCCAAATCAGGCTAGGCAGGTTGCCTGGCAACTGTTGCCTGGCATGGAGTGAAAAACTGGGATGCCCAGAGGCCTTTAGTGCAGGCAGCTTCCAGCATCCCCAGATGGCCCGGATTAAGCTCTGAGGCTCTGAGGTTGTCAAGACGATTGTTTAGAATTGCGATGGGCCTTGGACAGGGATGTTTGGTCTGGTGCCTTGGGAGGCACGAACTCCAAGGTGCTACGATAGACAGCTGCTTGCCAAACTAATGGATTTTTTTTTCTAAAAAAAAAAAGTCTCCTAAAAACCAGCATGGCTTGCCAAAGAAAAGACAATTTCCATAGTCAGAAGTTTGTAATTAATTTTCTTGTCAAAGTCAGAATAAATGTTTCTTTTCAAAAAAGTTTTTTTTAAAGTGATAAATTATATATATATAGGCTTTTTAAAAAATTATTCATTGCCGGGCGGTGGTGGCGCACGCCTTTAATCCCAGCACTCGGGAGGCAGAGGCAGGCGGATCTCTGTGAGTTCGAGGCCAGCCTGGTCTACAGAGCTAGTTCCAGGACAGGCTCCAAAGCCACAGAGAAACCCTGTCTCGAAAAAACCAAAAAAAAGAAAAAAAAAGAAAAAAAAATTATTCATTTATTTATTTTATATGTGTGAGTGCTTTGCTTACATGTGTGTCTGTGTACCATGTGGATGCCTGGTGCCTGCAGAAGCCAGAAGAGTCCATTAGATCCCCTGGGACTGGAGTTACAGACAGTTATGAGCTACAGTGTGGGTGCTGGGAACCAAACCTGGATCCTCTAGAAGAGCAACCAGTGCTCTTAACCTCCGAGATATCTCTCCAGCCTGAGATGCACAGTTTGATTCCCTTCTAAGTGCACAGTTGCGTGGGCTCCCCCTTCACCTGTGTTTGAGTCCGTTAGTATGGGGCCTCTGGGATGGGTCAACAGGTACAGGCACTTGCCGCCAAGCTTGATGACCTGACTTTGATTCCCAGTGCACACATGGTGGAAGGAGAGAACTGACTCCCCATGAGTTGTCCTGTGACCTCCGTGTGCATGCCGTGGCACAAGCATACACACATGCACGCGCACATACATGCACACATGCAAATAAATGCAATGAAACACTCTCCAAGCCATCACCACTATCCACTTCTAGAATGCGTCATCTTACTGAAATGAAACTCTGTCTTCGTAATTCCGCCTCCTCTTCCTCCAGCCCAGGTATCCCCTTCCTGCCTGTCTGTGTGACACTGACTGCTCTGTCCCTCCTACACGTGGGCTTTGCAGCACCTGTCTTTCATAACTGGTGTATTTCACTCGGTAGGATGGCCTTCTGTGGCTGTGCCCACTGTCCCACGCAGTTCCTTTGTCAGGCTGACTGGTGTTCCAGCTCGCACAGAGACCTCCTCTTGTGTGTCTGTTCATGCTCTGATGGCCCCCGGGTGGTGGGGTGGGGTGCTCCCACCTTCTGATTGTTGTGAGTTACGCTGCGGTGTGAATGCATTCACAGCACAGGTTTTAATTTTGTTGGACTTTTAAAGTTCCCACGTAGGAAAATCCCAAGAACCCTGAAAACAGTTTCTAGAAATTCTGTTCCTGGCTTCCATTTGCTGTCTGTCTCTGTCATGCTTTCTCCTCTTTAACTCTGTGATGGTGAAGATTAAACCCAGGGCTTCATCTATGCCAGTCGAGTACTCTGCTGCTGTATACCCAACACTTTGCAGTTTTGATTTTTTGAGGCAGTCTCTCTAAGCGTCCCACACTGCTTTGAGCTCACTCTGAAGCTCAGCCAAGCCTCGAAAGTGTGCTCCTCCTGTTTTAGCTTCCTGAGCATCTGGGATGAGAGGCACGAGGCTGCACGGTTGCTTTGTCATTCTCCCGGCATCTCCATCTCTTTTTCTCTTCTTTTGCCCCCCTACACCCTCCTCCTCCCACACAGATATGCACAGGCGCACACTCGGGTGAACAGTGCTATCACTGTCTTACGTCTTGATTGTTCGGTTTGGGTTCGTCTACTACAGCTCACATGTCTACCTCTCTTCTTCCTCTGTACCCAGGGGTGAACTCCTTCCTCGTGTACATGGCTTTCAAAGATCGATTCCAGCTGACGGATTCCCAGGTAAGAAAGCCAGCCTTTCTGAGCAGGCTCCTGCTGTTCTGTTTGGTCTGGTCACCACTGGCATCTGGGGAAACATTCTTCCGTGTGTGTAGAGCTCACCTATAGGTTGATGGGACATGGCTGACAGATGTGAGTTTTGATGGAGTCATGCTCCGTCAGACTCGGAAATCCGACCTTGTGACCTCAGGATACCCGTATGGCCTGGAGGTGGTACTGAGAGCCCCTCATCATACCTGGGCTGAGCCGTCATCCCCTGCTTCTCATACCTCACTCCTGTCCTTGTGGTTGGGCTACCTCTGTGAATGGCAGAGTGGTCAGAAGCCCCCTTGAGCATTGCTAAGTCTGGCCTACCAGAGCAGCCTGACTGCTATTTCTCCCTCACCAAGCGGGTTTCCTTTGACCTGGAAGATTTGGGTGTTGTGGGAGCTGCGGGCTAGCGTTCCGCCACCCAGCTCCCGCCACAGGCTAGCTTTACCCGAAATAACAACACACAAATTGTATTCTTTTAAACACTGCCTGGCCCATTAGTTTCAGCCTCTTAACCCATTTCTAATAATCTATGTAGCACCACGAGGTGCGCTTACCAGGAAAGATTCAGCATGTCTGACCTGGTGGCTGGCTGCATCGTGTCTGCCCTGGAGAGAGCTGCATGTCATCTGAGCTCACTTCCTCTACCTCCCAGCATTCTGTTCTGTTTACTCCGCCTATCTAGATTTTAACCTATCAGGGCCAAGGCAGTTTCTTTATTTAACCAATGACCTTCCTCCATCATTTGGGTTCTGGTCTCTGAGTTCTCCCTCATCTTCCTCAGATCTATGAAGTGCTGAGCGTGATCCGGGATATCGGTGCCATTGCTCAAGTCCATGCAGAGAATGGTGACATCATTGCTGAGGTATGGGACCCTTCTCTCATATTCTATATCTCCAGGAAAGCAACCTCAACAATATATATATATGACAGCTTTGGGAGCAGAACACAGTGTGGGGATCCTGAGGGCCTGGTGTTCTGGTCCCGGGGCTCTATTGGTAATCTCCTGCTATTAGGAGATTACCTAATCCTGTGTTCTTAGGATATGTGGCTGGCTCCCATTCTAGGCTCTTTCTCCCGGCCCTGCAGCACAGATATTCTGGATGGAGTTGAATACCCAGCTCCCACAGGGGCATCATCATATACTCAGATGTGGGCCAGGAGGGCCTCTACGTTCAGCATCCCCAGGGAAGGTTCACAACCTTCCTGATGCTAAGACCCTCCCTTTAATACAGTTCCTCATCTTGTGGTGACCCGCACAACCTTAAAATTGTTTCATTGCTCCTTTATAGCTGTAATTTTGCTACCGTTGTGAACCATACTATAGCTATCTGATATGCAGGATATCCGATGACCCCCACAGGCTGAGTCCCACTACTCAAGTGGGACTGGGGTTAGTGTCGTGCCCCTTCTCTCTCTGAGGTCTGGGATGACACCATGAACAAGGCCCACTCTCCTTGCTGGGAGACTTTTAGCCCAGGTCTCTCAGCATCAGCCACCTGACACCCGGCTCATCTCATCAGTTGGCTTTTTATGCATTACAGGAACAGCAGAGGATCCTGGATCTAGGCATCACGGGCCCCGAGGGACACGTGCTGAGCCGACCGGAGGAGGTGAACATCTGGGAGTGGGATGTGTGGCTTGGGGTCTCTTGGACTCTGCAGAGCACTAACCCTTCCCCCCCGAAGTACCTCTTGAAATCGGGGGCTTTTTGGATGCACACTGGTCTTTCGAAGAAATGTGTGCATATGTGTCTGCATGTGCATATCCACCAGCATACCGCCAGGCCCCAAACACAGGCTGGAGTCACAAAACTCTTTTACATCTCTGCAACACACGTGAGGAGCCTTCACCCAGAGCAGCACGCTCGGTGGAGCCTGGTGGACAGAACCATTGAGAACTGTGGCCAGGGTTAGCCCTGGCTACGAAGCATAGAGTTACCACACCAGACCATGGAGTCTGTTAAGTCAGAGGCTGCAGGCTTCATGTTGTAGGAGATGGCGTTTTGGCCACTAGATTTTTCACCTGACAGTACTTTACAGAATGTCTTAGTTAGGGTTTTTATTGGCTGTGAAGAGACACCATGACCATGGCAACTCATAAGTAAAACATTTAACTGGGGTGGCTCGCTTACAGTTTCAGAGGTTTAGTCTGTTATCATGAAGGAGAGTGTGGCGGCGTGCAGGCAGATGTGGTGCTGGGGCTGAGAGTGCTACATCTTGCAGGCAACAGAAAGATGGCTGAAAGTCACACTGAGGGAAGCTTGAGCGAAAAAAGACCTGAAAACCCACCCCGCAGTGGCATGCTTCCCCCAACAAGGCCGCACCCCCAATAGTGCCCCTCCTTTTGAGGGACTTTTTTTTCAAACCCCCACATAGAGGCTAGTCCTTCAGTAAGGGTAAAGGTCATTCTAATAGCCGTCTGAAAAGTCTAAGGGAAGAGGATGATGGGGGAGTTCTGCAAGGAATGTTCTAGATTACAAAGATGTGTTAGAGATAAAGAGAAGTCTCTCAGGGACCTGGATGGATGGAGACTCAACATTTAAGAGTTCCCAGAACCAGATAAGAAGGGGGGTGTTTGGTACGTGGTCTGTGAAGGAGCTGGGGCCACCAGATCCCAGAGCTTGCCAGAACAAAGCACGGAAGCAGGAAGGATGCCCACGTGTCTCCCAGAAGGAGATCGCTATCAGCGAGCCACCGTTGTGATTGAGCCTTTAAACAGAAAACTTAAACCCATTTGTATGTTTAAGTTCAACATAAAGAAGTGGGGGCTTCTCTTTGGCCATTGTCATACAGAACTGCACAGCGCAGAGGGGCCAGTTATGGACATCCCTGAGGGCCAGCAGAGCTAGGACCATAGCATGGGGGGAGTAGGCTTTTTAGTTGATTTGAAGGTGCCCAACTTATGCCAGGCTCTGAACTTGATGGTGCCCTCACTAATTTCACCCTGTGGCATTCCTGTGAGGTGAGGCTAGATATAGGGTCTTCAGAGGAGCAGAGACAGGGGATGGGAGGGAGGGAGAGAGGGAGGGGCTGGCAGAATAGAGTTAGGACTCCAAGGCCTTCACTCTTGCCATTTCTTCAGATGATGACTGTTCAGTTTGCCAAGCTGAGTCTGTTGTGTGTGTGTTAAACACAGAGAATCAAACATGGAGCCGTTCTGAGTGGACTTGCTGTACAGCCCGCTTAGGAAGAAACCACCAACACATAGGACACAGCATTAACTAACGATTTAGCTTCTGTGTGGCGTCAGGATCTCTCCCATCAGTAGTGCCCCGGTGGCCAGCTTGCGTTTGAACTTCACCGTACGCCCTTCTTTGCAGCCTGCCACGTGGGCAGCTTGGTAGGATTTTACCTTGTTTTTAGATAAGGCGATGGGAAAGGGGAGACTGGTGAGGACGTAGGTAGGACTCTAGGAATCGTCTGTGTGAGGCGGTACAGTGTGGTCAGCATGTGTTCTGATCGCGGCAGTGCCTGGCCCTGTGTGGCAGTGAGCTGAGAGGGGGGCTGGGTCCTCTCTGAGAGGGACTGTCAGCGAGCTGGTGACAAAGAGGCAGACAGGAAGTATATGTGTAGGCTAGAATGTGACTGGCTGCCAGCAAGGGACAACTGTCAGAGCCTGGGGCCTGTGAAGAAAGTGGACTTTGAGACGTGCCCAGCAAAGCCAACATAGACTGTCCCAGGTGGGCCTCAGGATATATGACCGAGCTGTGCCAGGTGATGGGGTGGGACAGGCTGTCCAGAGGCCGCCATCTCCAGACTCTGCTATGGGCCATTTCCCTGTGGTACTTGTGCTGCTGCATCTACGAAATCACATCGATAACCTCCCAGATGTCCGAGATTCCCCATAATGAGAAGAGGTTTTATTTTAAGCTGTTATATTCTTTCCACAAGATTTAAAGGGATTTCTGTCAGGGCTCGGTGCACATATAACAGTATCTGCGGCGGATCAGTGGCTGGAGTGTTCTGATTGGACAACTGCGGGTGAGGTTTAAATACCCTCTTCTTCCAGAGAGCTAGCATTTGAGTCTGGCCTCTGTCCAAGTTCAGGCCACTCTGTGGGGCCAGATGGAGTCTGAATTCCATTCACAGTGTGTATGCAAATCCAGGCAGACCCCCTGGGACCAGGATTTTTCCTCACTAGTCTTAGTGGGAGCCGGTCCCATTTGGCCTCTTGATTAGAGCCATTACACACCCCACTTTAACTGAGGGCAGCAGGCCTGTAGCCCCAGCCATTATTTATAGTGAGTGTGTCTGTCCCTTTGTGAGGGGTCTGTGCGGGGACATCAATAGGGCTGTTTCTGGCGTCCCTGCAAAGTGTTGAGCATCTTGAAGTCCCTTTCATTCACACTTCCCACTAGAGACATCCGAGCTGGCAGCCCAGCCGGAGGTTCCAGGGAGGGGAAGGAGGCCAGGGAGCAAGAGGGAGGCTCCCTTCAGCCATCCCTGGAATGGGAAACATTTGAGTGTTTGGTGAGTGTTTTTTGAAGCTCTTTGCTTTCCTGTAGGTTTGTAGACTGCCTTCACATAACTGATGCCCAGAAGCTGAGTGTGACTGAGGTTTGGGCTCCCTTGCTGGAACGGGCACTTAGAGCAGCAGCGACAGACCCCAGCCCTGCTATGCTCTGGTGGAAACAGACCTAGCAAAGTCAACTCAACTAGGAGCGTGCAGCTCCTGTGAAAAGTGGCGGCCTGGCTTTTAAAGTGACATTAATAAGATGAAGCCATTTGTTTTTGTGCAAGTTTTGATTATCTGTTGGATACCATCTCTGCTTTGAGGACGTTAGGAGTAGGGCCTGGTGGGTAGAGAAAGAATAAGATCCCCCCCCCCCCACCTGCCTGAGTTTACACTAGCGTCTCCTTAGCGTTTGGCAGCACCCTTTTGGGATCTGCTTTGTGTGGGTATCATCTGACATAGTGAACAACGCCTTGTTGCATATGACATGGGCCTCCATACAAGGTGACTTCCCTAGTTGGGTGTTCAGCAGACATGACGCAGGATCTGAAATTCCATTCCCTGAGGATCAGATACAAAGAGCCAGATGGTTGATTGGGGGTGGTTCTTCATCTATGCTGAAGGCGGTACCAGGCTGTGGCTGACCAGTCCCGCTCTTGGAGAACATGCCACTGCCTACTTCATCCCCGAGCCCTGCGAAGCTTGTTTTGTTTTGTGGGTGAGGCCAGCCGGGTTCACAAGTATCTGGCAGACTCGGCTCCAGGGTCACAAACAGTAAATGTCCTCACTCAGGATCACGAGAGTGGAATGAATGGCCACGCTGAGATCAGCCAGGGTCTGTGAATGTATGGTTCTTCTTGAACGGGAGCAAGTGAAATTGTTACCAGGGTTAGGGACAAAGCCTGGGCTCTGGCAGCCCTAACGAGCTTGGCTTCACTGGCCGTCCTCAATAGGCGAATTACAGAATAAGCCATTGGCAAACAGTGAGAAAGATGGTTCAGGGTAGTTACGATCCATAAGCCGATCTTCAGAGGCCTGACACGAAGTTTAGGGTTAAACAGGAGGCTGTTGGTCATGGCAGCACACTTGGGGGGCTATGATGAAGAGGCAAGGAGGCAGGACCAGGAGTTCCAGGCCAGCGGGGAGATACAGCTCAGCGACTGAGAACCACACAAGGGCGGACACCGCTCAGCACCCACACCACACAGCTCACTACTGCCTGTACTTTGGGTAGATCCAAAGCCTCCGGCCTCCACGGGACCAACACTCAAGTGCACAAACCCACACACAGACGGACATGGCGTGGTCCCTCCCACCCATTGCTGTCTTGGCTGTGGCCGTCCTGAAGGGGGTTCTGTCAAGTCAGAACTGCGTGAGCTGTCTTTCCTGGAGACAAGTTCCTCTTCTGGCAGGCACCCAGCTTCAGCCTTTTCCTTCTCCCATCATGAAATTCGCCTCAGGAAGTTCTAATTTCTTAGGGGCCATTGTTTCAGTAGTGTGATAACTCAAGGGAGTGACCCAAGTATCTCTTCAGAGTATCTTGTTTCCTGCCAGTAATCATGCGTAGTGCTTGCAACCCATTAGGCTAGGTTCTCTTCCAGAGTGGCTAGTGTGGGTCTAGATGGGATCCATTTCCTGGGTGCCCTTTGGGAAAGATTCTTGGGGGACCCATCTGTCTCTGTTGGCGAATGAGGACGAAGATGGGCTTGAGGGTGGGCTGGGTTTTCATGCTCTCTGCTCTCCCATAGGTCGAGGCTGAAGCTGTGAACCGCTCCATCACCATTGCCAATCAGACCAACTGCCCCCTGTATGTCACCAAAGTGATGAGCAAGAGCGCAGCTGACGTCATCGCCCAGGCACGGAAGAAGGGTGAGCCGCGCAGGGCTGTTGGACCCACTGTGGGCAGGTGGAAGGAAGGAGCCTGCCCTCTGGAGAGGCTCTTTTTCCGACCCTCGTGCCAACTGGGCCACTTTTATCATGTTCCAGCATTAACCTAATTGCACTCAAACAGAGCAGGCAGCTCTGGTTTCCTCCCTTTGTTCTGCAGTCCGTGGCCTTGTTTGTATCTATTTAAAGTCAAGGCCTTGTGGGCAGGTAGCCCCCTCTCTATTTACGTTGATTTATCAGCGTGATTCTGTGTAAACAAACTGGTCACCCTACATAGGTTACATCACTCTTCTCTGGCTACAGAGCCCCTCTGGGAAATGCTACTATGTGTCTTCCCTCCACCTTGGGTGGGGATTTCTACTGGGGGACAGTGAGAGCTTGGTGCGGGACACAGGTTTACTGGCCTCAAGGGACTCCCTGGGAGTGTACTGTGGGCGCCTTCTGCCTGAAGCCGGTTCTCCCGAGACAGATCCTAGAAACTAATTCACTAAGTGTAGCTTCCAGTACTTTCTCTCGGGGATCTTCCATGGAGCACCTTATACATTATGAATAGGTTCCACTGTCACCTGGGGAGCTCCGCAAGTTTGGCTGGTCACAGGGCATGCTCTCTGCTTAGGAGTTAGCCCAGCCTGTAGAGCTGGAAAGAAGAGCACTGGCTGATGGGAACCTTAGCCTGACCCGAAGTGAGCCTTGCAAAGGGATGCCCATCTTCCTTCTTGTTCCCGCCACCCTCTGGTGGATCTTTCCAGCTTGTCTATCTCTGTTTATCTGGTTTTCCCTCCTCTCAGGTGCTCCCCCCCCCCACCTTTCTCTCTGACTCGGTCTCTGTCTAGTTTGGCCTGTACAGCTGTTCCTACTTGGCTGTGTGATCCACATGGATCAATAAGGACTGTAAGGATATTTTCACCGGTGGGTGACTTGGTACAAGCTCCAGAAGAAATTGCTCAATGGCTACTCAGTTAGCCTGTCCCCCAAATGGCTTCCAGACCAACCTTGTGATTTATGGCTCCTACTCTTTGGGGCTTTCTGGGGCTCCATTTGACCAATTGCTAGGCTATTAATTTTTGAGAGCCTGCCCTCTCCTGGCTATTTGAAGGAATTGCCTCTTATTTAGTAGTAGTAGAAACAGTATTATTTTGGTATTTTCAAACCTGGTCTTACATAGCCCAGGCTGGCCAGGAACTCGCTGGATAGCATTGAATGACCATGACTTCCTGATCCTCCTGCCTCCACCTCCTGAGTCCTGGGATCACAGGCGTGCAGCTCTTTTCCCTGTTGGAAAAAACATCCAGAATTTGTTCAGCATTGGCTTTAAGTTATTTTTTGAGGAAACCGTGTAGGTGGTGACTGGACCCGTGGCCCTTTATCACCCAGATCCACTTGTAAGGTGACTGAGTGTTCAGCTTCAATACCAAACACCCTCCTGGTGGCACTCCTTCCATGTAGCATGGGCACAGTGGGTACAGTGTCTGAAAAGGGGGGCGTGGTGGGCAGCTAAGTTTGTGTGTTTTACTGATCATTCTGCATAATAAAGATGGGGAGTAATAGGGAGTCAGGTAAGGCCAACATTCACATGACTTTGTATTGTGGCCTTCTTGTCCAAAGTGTGAAACATCACAGACTCACCTTGGCAGAGGGAGGGGGTCAGCCTTTTGACAGATCACAGCTGGGGTGGAGTCACCAGCCAGCTCCCCAGCAGCACCGAAGCCTGTGGTACTAACTCATCGCTCCGGCATTTTGCTTTGGGGACCAGACAGAATGTTGTTTTTGTTAACTTTTGAGCCTGGTCCCAAAAGGAAGAAATTCCGCCAGTTCTGTTCCAGAACCTTCCATGCATGTATCCAGCTGTGCCCATACCGTTCTTCTCAGGGTGGCCTTCGCATTCAAGCTGTTGCTCTCCGACAGACCCAAGTCACTGGGGAATTCCATAGCAGAAGGCTCTGGCCCTGTAGAGGGCTGGGAAGGCTCTTGGTGTCCTGTTGGATCTTCCTAACCTCCTCAAGAGGCAGCCTGGGGCAGCAACCTTCATTTTTTCTTTTGTTCTGAAGGTCAGAGCTTGGGAAGAGCAGAACTGGATTGTCGACTGAGTGTGTAGCTTCAGGCTCCAAATCTCCATGTTAATGTTTGACCAGCTCACCTTTCCTCTTGGGGATTGTTTTAGTAGATAAAATTCTTGTGGTCTGTATCGGTTGGAAATTAGTTCTGGTGGAAACTGGAGCCTGACCCTCAGCATAGGCCTGGATAATAAGAAATAAATACACACACACACACACACACACACACACACACATACACACATATATATATAGTTTTTATTGAACTATATATTTTACTCTGCTCCCCTTCCATCCTTTCCCCTCCCTTGAAACTCTCTCCCATGGTCCCCATGCTGCCAATTTACTCAGAAGATCTTGTCTTTTTCTATTTCCCATGTAGATTAGATCCACGTATGTCTCTCTTAGGGTCCTCATTGTTATCTCGTTTCTCTGGGGTTGTGATTTGTAGGCTGGCTTTTGAAACAAATATTCTTGAACATCAAGGACACAGTAGCAGGCTGTTTGAGGGTTTGTTCCCTGGGATTAATAACACTGATTAGGACCAGACCCTACACGTGTTACAGCCATGTGACTTAGCATCTCTAGGTCTGTTTCTCACTTGCGAAGGGACAGCCATGATTGTGACTCTCCTCACAGAGGGATGCTTGCGTTTAAAGGAGATAATGAGAGGAGAGGTGTCTCCAGTAACCAGTCATTCTTGCCACTGAGGCATGAAATGATGGTTTAACCTGGAATGTGGTTCAACAAGCCCAGATGAAGATGTTTGTGTATTTTCCCTGTGTGACACTTCAGGCCTCAGTGCCAGGAGCTAAAAGTGGTCTTGACCCCAAGCGTCTGCCCTCGGAGGGAGGGTGAGGCAGGAGCAGAAAGACATGAGGGGAGTGATCAGTGCCATTATGACTAGGCAGGACTAGAGGACAGGATAGGGAGCCTATGAGGTTCAGGCTATGGGAAGGACTAGAACAATAGTTATCCACTCTAGCCTCACGACTCACAGACCCACTTGGTCCTATGTCCAAGCTGGAGACATTAGGGCAAATAGAGAAATGAGATAAACAGGAGACTATGGGATGAAATGACAGCGGGGACTATAGCTGCATGCAAACTAGACCAAGCGCAGTGGTGGCCTGCCTTTTCTGAGTGACCCCGTGGCCACAGTCATTCTGCGCCTTGCATCAGGACACCCCTTTACCAACCTCACTGAACTCTATCCTGGTACCTCATCTTACTTTGTATTTGGGGGCAAAGTCTTACTATGTTGCCCAGACTTGCCATGAATTTGTAATCCTCCTGCCTCAGCCTCCTGAGTAGCTGGGATTACAGGCTTATATCATCAAATCATGGCTTGGGCTTTATTCTTAAGGAGAATGTGGAAAGTGGTTGGTTTAATAAACTCATGTCACACAAGAGAAATTGGGATGCAGAAACTGAACATGTTGTTCCCAAACATCCAGCCTGCAGGAAGTTAAAGCCACGATTCCAGGCCTCTGCCCTCTGTTTGTCCTGAGTGTCAGCGTGGGGACTTCTTCTTCAGGCTACCTTTCTCTCGGGTGAGGAGCCCTGGGTGGCTGCAGATCCCTCCCTGAGGGAATGGTAACTTTTGGGCAGTACCTGCTGATGTCACCCCGTGTGCATCCTTATTGTCCTTCCTTATCCATCCTTAGAACCAAGGGACAGCCACATTCAAATAGTCCTGGCTGTTGAGGGACACTAAACCCAAATCCAGGATAAGACTTCTCTTGACCAACAGGACAACAGGGAAGGCTATTGGGCATCATGAAAACCCTGTGCTCACATGAGCTATGAAGTCTACTTCACTTTGGGGAGGAGTTAAACTAATTTTCCATGTAGTAATCTTGAACCAGACTTGAGATTGAGGTGGTAGGTGGGTTGGATTGTGAGTGTCATGAAATCCTAGCAGAGTCTATTAGTCAGAGAAACAGCCCACTAGAGGATGCGGAAGGGGACAGGAAGACAGAGGAGGATTTATTTCAAGGCATTGGCTCATGCTGTAGGTGAGCTGGATTGTGAAATCTTCAGAGAAGGCTCACAGGCTGGAGACCTAGGTGATAGACAGGGTGCTGCTCACATCTGAAGGCTGTGTGGAGACAGAAGCATTTCCTAGTCAATGAACAGCACGTGGCCCCGGAGGCTGGAAATTCAGATTGCATTGTAATTCAGCCAGGTGGGATAAGATCCTGTGTTTGACGTTCAGCCACCTGTGCTCTCTGTTGGTAAAGGTATATGTGGGCACTTTCAGGGTAGACAGAAGAGTGGTTTCCTGTTGTAGGAGACTGTTTGTTCCCAGCTGCTCAGCACTGAAATAACCACACAGAAACTGTATTACTTAAATCACTGCCTGGCCTATTAGCTCTAGCTTCTTATTGGTTAGCTCTTATATCTTAATCTAAACCATATTTATTAATCTGTGTATCACTACGTGGCTGTGGCTTACTGGCAAGGTTTTGACTCATCTGTTCCCAGCAGTGGCTACATGGCGTCCCTTGAGTCCACTTTCTCCCAGCATTCAGTTTAGTACTCCCCCCACTCCCCACTTACCTCTACTCTGCCCTGTGTAGTACTAAGACAGTTTATTTATTCATTAACCAATAAAAGCAGCACATATACAGAAGGGCTCCCATACCAGTTCTGGACCTGGGAATTTGAATCCATAAATTCATTCTTTTTCTTTCCAACCTATTTTGACCAGCACCAACAGAGGCAACCAACCAGTCTTTTAATTTTAAAAAATGTTCTATGGCATCAAATACAGCATCCACAGCCTTGCCTTGTAGAAGTATTTGAGTCAGGGTCTGCAGTGGTGTTTTCATCAAGCCATTGTGGTGTGGACTACATGCATTTTCTTTACTGTAAGAATAATCAGTAGTGCTCCTGAATTACCTCAGATTAGACAATCAATTCTAGAAACTTCAGAAAACTTATCCTGAATATTTGGTTTATTGTCCCAAGGGATGGTATATACCTGTGATCCCAGCACAGGGATGGGGATTCAGCTCATGAGAAGTCTGTGATCATGAGACTATGAGGGATAATCCTTAAGGCTAGCCTAAAAGAGGCATAAGTATGTTTGTTAGTTGAAGGTTAGCCTGGGCTATATTTTAGCATGGTACTGACCCCCACCCCACCCCCCAAAAAAATAGGACTAGTGAGATAGAGTCACCAAACACTCACAGGAACCTGGATTTGTGTCCCAGAATTCATGTAAAGAAAACGGTGTGGTGGTTCATGACAGTAATGTGTTGGGGAGGCAGATCTCAGGCTCGTTGGCCAGCTGGGCTAGCTTACTTAGAGAGCTCCAGGCTAATAAGATACACTGTCTTCTATATGTGCAACTCCCTGTCCCATGTGCATTTCCCACACTACACACAAACACACGCACACCCGAACCTTCCTTGCTGTCAGCATATCACCGCATAGTCTACAGGCAGTTGAGGCTGTGGCCCGAGCACTCCTAGCGAAAGGCAGAGGAATGTGGGTCTGCCTGCCTTTCCACCAAGTCTCATTTCCCTGGTCTTCCGTGGCTGAGCTTTAAGGCTCCCTACACGTGGTTTCCCATTGTTCTTGCTTTGGATCTGTCCTGCTTCTCGTTCATGGGAAATGACAAACTGTTGGAGCCCAGAGCTGTCAAACATTTTCAAACCCCAGCTTGCAGTTATTCTTCATGAATGTGCTCAGCCCGGGGCTGGTTGTGAATAAACATCACCCGCCCGGCCCCTGCATTCCTGGCCTGACTAGTGCGTCTGCCAGAGTCTGGCTTGGGGTCATATCCTTCAGTTTAGACTTTCCCTGGAGAAGAGAATCAGAAACTACAAACAGCCGCCAAGAAAGCATCAGTAGTGTATTTAGAGGAGCATAAAAAAGGCCAATTAAGCCATTCGTGGTTTATTATTATTAGTGGTAATGATGGCTGGCACACTGCAGCTCGCTGGTGTCTGTGGCCTGACTGAGCTCTGGAAGCCAGTCCATGGCTTCCCCCAGCACACAGTTTATAGGGCAAGAGGAGGAGCCCATGGCAAGGCTCTGGGTCACTGAGGTGGGGCTGTGTGGGGGGCAGGTAGAAAGCAGTTTGTCAACCACGCTCCCCTGAAGGTGGAGGTCTTGGATATGATGGGTCCTATGACTGGCAAGGACCTCGGACTCCCTCAGGAGGTTTGATTGTAGCAAAGCTGGAGACGTGGCTCATCGGTGAAGAATTCTTGCTTTCACAGAAGACCAGACTGTTCGGTTCCCAGCACCTACACTAGACCCCTCACAACCACTTGTAACTCCTCTTCCCCCAGGAAGCTAAGACTTTCTTCTAGTCTCTGCTGGCACACAAACTCACATCTGCATATTCATACACAGGCACACGCACACACACCTAAATAAAAAAAATTTAAAAAATATCTGTGACTTCCTCTTTCCAGGTCTCTGCATGGTTCCATCTTGGGTTGGCCAGGAGTCCCCACTCTCTGATGGCCTAAGGAAGAAATTAGACGTCTCTAGTGACCTTGGAGGCTCTGACCCATCCTGTGTTTTCCAGGGGCTAAAGACTGAGTTCATTGTCACATAAGAGCTTATGCTAAGGGGGACAGAGGGCAGGGGACCCAGCCCCTTGTCAAACAGTACCACTCCCACCCCAGTCTCTGATGAAGCCTGTCTGTTTCTAGTAGCGGGCTCCCCCAGTCAGATTTCCAGGGCCAGGATGGAGGTGCAGACTCAGTAACAGGACAGAGGATGACGAATTCCAGGGCATCCTGGGGGTGTATATTTCCCAGACAGATGAGTTGTTGTTTTCTCCTCTGGGCACCTTTGCTGTTCTGAATTTTTATGGTGACAAAACCTATATACCCCGAGGGCTGTGGGGATAGTGGGCAGCAGGGTTCACAGACCCTTTGTACAGAGGTGGGGGCAGTGGATGGCAGAGCCTCGCAGGCCTGGCTGTGGTCCTTTGTGTGGAGGGGGTCAGTCAATGGCAGGGCTTGCTGGATCAGGAGTTAGATTTCGTCAGCTCTGTTGAAGTTCCTGTAACAGCCAGTGCTGCCTCTGCTCAGCTGCTGCACCTTATGAGGGGCCTGAAGAACAGCTAACAGTTGGCGTTGGCTTTAGGAGGTCTTTTTCCATCTGGGGGCAAGTGCCCAGTGCTTGTCCAAGCTTCTATTGGGAGAGCTTCCCATAGGTCAGGATTGCTGGGTTCCTCTCCTGGCTCTTTCCTCCAGGGGTCCCCTTCAACATGCTTGTACTTGGTTCTAGAAACCTCCCTCCTGCCTGGAGGCTGTCTCCGAGTGTGGATGGGAGGCAGCTTGTGGCCTCCCAACACCCTCTAACTAAACAGCCACTTCTTTGTGACATTCCTGAGGCAGGAGGGGGCAGCTCCCTGGAGCCAGTTTTGAGTGTCTGGGCAAAGAGGGTGTTGTGGGCTATTATCCAGTGATAAGCCTCTGCAAGGACTGTGGAGAGGAAGGGAGACACATTCCTGACTGAGAAGCATTTGGCCTTGAGGGTGGGTCGCGGGTTTAGAGAAAAGAAGCTTGGCTGGGTGCTGGCAGGGGAGGCAGATGGATTTGGGTAACCTGAGCGCGAGTTCCAGCTTTCAGGCCTTGAATTAGTGAAACAGTAGAGCACCAGGTTGGCGCGACACACATTCGTTAAGCACCTACTGTATGCAGGCAGCAAGATGATCCTTAGGTATGTTGAATGCCTACTGTGTGCAGGCAGAAAAGTGATCCAGGTGTCACCTTCAAGAGGCCAACACTTTGAAAGTGGATGATAATGTGGGTGGAGGATTCAGAGCTTAGGGGAATGGTGGGGCCTGAGCCATGAAAGGGGAGGCTGAAAAGCCAGGCGTGGTGGCACCCTTCTGTAATCTCAGCTCTCCAGAGTCCAGACAGGAAGAAGTTCAAGTTCATTTTCTGCCACAGACGTAGTGGGTTCAAGGCCAGACTCAGCTAGGCAAAAAAAAAAAAAAAAGCTTGGCATTGAATCATGAGGGACATAATAAGTAAAGTTTGGGGAAAAGGCAGTTTTTTGTTTTGTTTTGCTTTTGTTTAAACATGGAAGGCATGACTTGAGAGGTCCTTAGAGGGATTGTGTGGAAGAGAATAGTATTCAGAGACTGTTCTGTGAAGATGGAGTGTCATAGTGTCACTGAGCCTGCATGGGAAACTGAGGCAGCAAGCCCAAACCTAAAATCTGCTGGAATGGGCTAGGAAAGGGATGAGGCCTGTCAAGAGTGTATTTAAGACATACAGGATGGACATTTGGCAGTATAAGTGGCCCTGGCTGTCTGGCCTCTGGAGGGACAGAGAAGACACCATTTGGACATCCAAGGAGCTGACATTCTTTCCTGGACATCATAGGAAGTTAGGCCAGGTTTCTAGAGACTCTGTTGATTCTCATGAAGTCAGGTGTGGCTCTGCTCTGATGGCTGCTATTGATGGCGTCCCTTATGTGTCCACTTAAGCATCCAGGTGTCTCTAGAAGATTCTGACACTATTTGCTCCTGATACCTCAGCCTTGTGATTTCATTTATGATTTCTGTCTATGGCTAGAATTAAGCATGGTAAAGGGTGTGGGAGAGAGGGCTGTCAGGTATGAGCAAGGAGGACACCTTCTGCATAGTAAAGATAATCCACCCATCAGCCGAAAAAAGGAGATTCTAGATGGTTCTGAGGCCTGGGTTTGGAAACCATCTGAGTTGGAGATCCGTGGTATGTAGCATGTATAGTGTTTAGGATTGTCTCAGGAGAGAGTGTTGAGTCCACAGAGCAGGGTATCTTAGTGTGTGCTGACTTGGTAGCCTTGGCTGCCTAGGATACTGGACTTCTAGCCATGGGTGTCATCAACTGTGAGATGAGGTTGTATCCCCAGGGAGGGAACGCTGAGAGCATCCTGTTGTGGCCCATGAGGGTCCAACATAAATTCTCTGATTCCCTAACCCGGCTGGAACGGAGTCGTGAGGAAAAGAACCGACACAGTTTACACCATCATCATGGAAAAGGCCAGCTTCACCATTTATTGTCCAAACATTTTATATACCCACACCAAATTGAGCGGGGAAGGGGGAAAACACATTACGCCATTACCTAGGCAACCAGGTGCCTGGGCTCAAGTCACAGCCGCACCTAGCAGTCAAGGTAGGCCCTGAATTAGCATCTCTATAAGACATCCTTCCAAATTACAAAAGGAAGGAAGCACCAAATATCTGAACTCTTAAGTCATCAACTCCAGTCAAACATCTCTTCTCAGGTAATCCACATTTTAACAAAAGAAGCTAGGAGCAGGCATCCTGGCTTTTGTTAAGGGCACAGACAGCTTGTCTCCAGAGCTATGTGATCAGCTCGGACCAGGGAAATGGCTTTTGTGCCATATCGAAATATGGGCCCACAGAATCCTACAGTGCCGAGCACCTAGTAATGTCTGCTAAGGGTGGTCTCTTACTCTTGGGGCGTCGGACTGAGCCTTCTCATCTGTTTCTCAGGAACTGTGGTGTATGGTGAGCCCATCACTGCCAGCTTGGGGACTGATGGCTCTCATTATTGGAGTAAGAACTGGGCCAAGGCTGCTGCCTTTGTCACCTCCCCACCCTTGAGCCCCGACCCAACCACTCCAGACTTTCTCAACTCTTTGCTGTCCTGGTGAGTATTGGTGACTTGTTCCTATCTACACTCTAGATGTCCTCAGACCAAAATGACCCAGTAGGTGACAGCATGGTGGTTGGGAACAGGTTTAAAAATAGACCCTTATTGACCAAAGTTGGGGTTAATAAGTGAGAACAAGGAATTATTGTGTCACCGTCCTGGGTAGAAATTCCTGTTGGGAACCTGGGTCATTCTGACAGCCACCTAAAGGGTCTGAAGAGGCATCAGAAGGACACCAGCATGGTTGGCGGGTCATCACTTAGGAAATATCTCACCAGACAGATTGAGGAACCCTGAGCTGTTAGGAAGCTTCATGTCGTATGTTTCCTTCCAGTGGAGATCTCCAGGTCACTGGCAGCGCCCACTGTACCTTCAACACTGCTCAGAAGGCCGTGGGGAAGGACAACTTCACCTTGATTCCCGAGGGCACCAACGGCACAGAGGAGCGGATGTCCGTCATCTGGGACAAAGCTGTGGTAAGGACTGATGATTCCCCTCTTGGGTGGCCCAGGCATGCGCCTGTCTCCGTGGGCGCGGGGCTAATGTTGGCCAGGTGAGAACATTCTAGAAACTTGAACTCGTGAGATGGTATTTCTCCAAGGCAGTTCCTGGGAGCTCATTTTCTTCTAACTATGACATCTAAGTCCTGTGTCAATGAGGAGATGGCTTCCTCGATCCCTGCTGACCCACCCAGTCAACAGTCTTTGACTTTACTCTGTTGGGAGTGTGTTGGAGAACTTCCAGGCTTCTGTTTGACCTGTTTTGGGCAGATATTGACCTAGGGAATTTGGAAGCTTTTTCACTTTATGTTTTAAAATATAGTAACAGGTTTTCTGATTCTTAATGAATTCTTTAGATTATGTGAATAAAAATTACCTTGTGAGCCGGGTGGTGGTGGCGCACGCCTTTAATCCTAGCACTAGGCAGAGGCAGGCGGATCTCTATGAGTTCAAGGTCAGCCTGGTCTACAAGAGCTAGTTCCAGGACAGGCTCCAAAACCACAGAGAAACCATGTCTCGAAAAACCAAAAAAAAAAAAAAAAAAAAAAAAAAAAAAAAAAAAAAGAATTACCTTGTGTCAGAGTTAGTGGACAGTGAGCGTTTTGGGGCATGTCTTCAGTTTTTGCCGGCATATGTGTGCACAGTATGTATCGGCCTTTAGGTAACATTAGCGTCACACACACTACCTCATAGCCCATTAAAAGGATTCTTAATATGTCATGAAACTGTCATCATTCTTAAACCCACATGAAATACAGGAAGCATACTTTTAATCTTCTTGTTTGTTTCCCTGAGACAGGGTCTCACTGGGAGGCCTGAGTTGGCCCGAAACTAGCAATGTGAACCAGGCTGACCTCCACCTCAGAGATCCACCTTCCTCTGCCTCTTTAGTGCTGGGGTGAAAGGTGTGGCCACCACACCCAGTGGAAAACTTGATTTTTAATGGTAGATAAGGGTCTCTTTTTCTCCTGACACCAAACAGTCAATTTTCTATAATTCTTTGACTCAAAATTGGTGTTGTTTCTATTTTTTTTAAAACTGAGATGAGTCTCCATGTAGACATAGCCTTGGGTACATCTTTAACTATGAGAAGTTTCCAGAAGTGACATCACCAGGCCAAAGGGAGTCTGTTAAAGACTGTAAATTATATTGTTAAACTTCCTCCTGCAAAGATTATGACACTTGGCATGGCATATGACACTCCTCAGTGGGTATCAAGAGCAGAAGCTCAATACACAACTAACTTAGTAAATTGCATCTTTCTTGCTTGATATTTAATTTCTTTGCTGAGTGGAATGAATTTTTTGATATGCCCTTTTGGTCATTTAAATTTTTTTCTTCCTTGTTCTCCAGTGTTTAGAGCAGGTTTGGAAGGGAAGGACTTCAGGAAATGATCAGCCCTTACTATATATCGCAGAAAGCCAGGCTGGCCTGAGACTCATTGACTAGAAGCCCAGACCTGTATCTGTCTTTGTTGAAAGGGAAATCCCAGCGTGCATTGCTTGTCAACATGTGTTTCTTTATTGCCGAACATGTTTCTGACCTCTGCCCTCCGTGTGTGTGTGTGTGTGTGTGTGTGTGTGTGTGCATTTGCATGCATGTGTGCACATATGCATGTGTCCTGTGCCCCACAGGTTACTGGGAAGATGGATGAGAACCAGTTTGTGGCTGTGACCAGCACCAATGCAGCCAAGGTCTTCAACCTTTACCCCCGGAAAGGTCGCATTGCAGTGGGATCTGATGCGGACTTGGTCATCTGGGACCCTGACAGTGTGAAGACCATCTCTGCCAAGACGCACAACAGTGTAAGGCTTGCCCATCGTGGGTAGACATGTGTGCTGCAGGTACCGAGAGACAGGGCCAGTCCAGGGATTTGAGCAGGACCTCAGCTGCTTAGGAGTGAAGTTTCTCCAGGATGTGCTGTGACTTTAGTCTTCCCAGGGCTGGACCAACACTTTCTTTATTGAGGTCCACGAGACTGCAACTCTTGGCCATGTTTCAGAGCAATGTCCTCTGTCCTTCGACGCTTAGGGTTCCTAGAGTGACATTAGAACCCCAAAAGCTTCTAAAAGTCAGGCACCATTCCATTGCTGTGGTTTGGGTAGTACCTCTTGTGGTGGGCTTACTGAAAGGGACCTAGCTAGAGAGCAGTTAAGTGTCCACTCCTGAGGTGGCCACTGGTCACTTCCATTTTCCTGTCCCCCTTTCCTCAGGCTTGAGGTTTGATTGATAGCTATGCATCTTGTCCTAAAGGAATTTTGACCTCTCCTTTCATAGAAGAAATCATCCAGACACGGGGTCACAGTTTAATAACTAAAAATTGGGGAAACTCTTGGTCACAGAGCTCAGGGATATGCCTTTAGCATCCTGATGTTTCACCTGAGAACCAGGGGCTCAGTGAAGTCTGGGTGTTCTGAGAGTTTGAGGTATCGGATACCAGCAGTTCCTCGGATAGCGCTAAATATCCCGAACACCAAGTGTGTAAGGGAAGGACCTTGGACGGGTGTTTTACTTTCTGTTTTTGGAGGCAGGGTCTCATGCTATATACTACGCTGACCTCAAACTCACTATCCTCCCATCTCAACCTCCCTGTTGCTGGGGCTACGTGTATAAATCCCACCAAGCAAATAAAGTATTCTATGCCAGCTCATTACTCAAATCTTATTTTCTCCCCCATCTTGATATTTTATTTAGCTTTAGCTATATGAGCAAGAGACAGTTCTTACAATGCTGAGCTATAAAGGAGCATGGAAGTTACTTATTTAAATTTTTAACATGAACTCTTTAGAAATAGCCAAAGGGTAGAGAACCATTGGGGGTGGGGGGTGCTGCAGTATTCTGAAAGTGTCTGCAAGTTATCCATGTGCAGTGCCTGCAGAGGCCAGAAGAGGGCACCAGATAGATCCCTGGACTGGGAGTTAAGTGTGCTAATGAACCGCCCAGTGTGGGTGCTGGGAACTGAACTTTTAGATCTCTTGCGATAACAGCAAGTGCTCTTAACCTCTGACCTAGCTCCCCAGACCCTAGAGCCATCATTTGTTGGGATTCTGTTCAACTTGTTCCCCAAGAAGGCAGATAAAGATAATAGAGTTTCAGTAGCGCTTACCCTCAATGCTTGGAATCAGAGGCATTTGGATTTCAGAAATTTTCAGGTTCTCAGATGTTTGCATGAATGTTGGTAGCTGGGCATCTCCAATCTGAAAACCTCAAATCCATAATTCTCTAAAATCCAGCTCACTTGGATCTTGACATGAGTTGTTTTCCCCCTTCTTACAGGAACTGCTTGTGTGTATAGTTTTGTTGTTGTTGTTAAGAGTTTGATACACTAGTTCTGTTGTCTTGCCACAGAGCTGTCTCAAACTCATGCCTCCCTCTTCTGTAGTTAACTATGTGTACACACGCGCACACACACACACACCCCAGTGATGCAGAGTCTAGTTAGTGTCGTCCATGTGCATGTGCATTTCGAGCTAACCGCTTAGACTTGGGTAACTACCCAGATGCTAATCCCTGAAGAAAGGATGTCTCTCCCTCCCCGTCTGAGCGGTCCCTGAATGCCTGTAGCTCTCTGGGAACCTTTCCTCCATCCGGCAGAGCAGTGTGATCTAGGGCAGACAACCTTATTGTGTAATGGCTACAATCTTTCTGTCAGCAAATACTGTCTCACAGCGGTGCCTCTGGTGCTCTGGCTCTTACACTGTCCCCTCTTCCATGCATCCCCCTAGCCTTGGGTGCAGGGGCTGTGTCACTGTGTCCCATCTGGAGTCAGGTGTGGAAGGGAGTTTGTTTTTTGTTTTGTTTTGTTTTGCTTTTAAGACTGGTTTCTCTGTAGCTTTGGAGCCTGTCCCGGAACTTGCTTTGTAGACCAGGCTGGCCTCGAACTCACAGAGATCCACCTGCCTCTGCCTCCCGAGTGCTGGGATTAAAGGTGTGTGCCACCACCGCCTGGCAGGAAGTGAGTTTTTAATCAGTGGAGCGGATCTCTGAGTGGAGTTCTAAGTGACCAGCAGGTGTCACAGGGAGCACAATCCCTGCTGCTCCTTTCCGTGGGTCTGAAACCATAAGGATGGTCGGCCCCAAGTGCCGTAACGACGTAGGGCAGGTCCAGGCATTTCTGAGACAGGTCTGGGCTTTCCGCCAGTCTAAATCCTCTCTCTTGGGCTGAAGGGTTTGGCTGGGCTCAGTGCCAGCTTCTGTGACCCCTGTGGGTACTGAGATAGTGGGTGCTTCATGGGCAGACTGCTGGACTGCATGTTTATGGCTGGTCTTGCCTTGCTGGTTCCGCGTTAGCCTTGGTGCTACGCCCGCTTTAACTTGTATCATCCCGTCTTGAGATCCTCAGTGACGTCCTGAGGGTGAACCTTTTGTACGCATGTGTATCATTTTCGCATGCCCGCTCTTTTCATTTGACCCTCTCACTACAGGGTCTGGTGTGATTATCCCAAGTGGGGAGATAAATCAGCGAGAGGTGTAGAGAGCTTCAGTGACTGGTCTAATGTTACATAGCGATCTTGCGGTTGAGCCAGAGTTAGAAGCCTTCATTTTTTTGGCACCCTTCCCCCACCAGACTGTGTGCACAGCGCCATGGCGGGGAGGGGTGGAGAAAGTGCTGTCCTGTTTAGTGGAGTGCCCTCTCCAGAGGGAATAAAAGGGATGGCCAAGGCCCATTAAAGACATGTGACTGGGCAGATAGTTGGCATCAGGACCTCTCTGCTTAGGCAGAAAACAGGGAGGCATGAAGGTTCGGGAAGACAGTTGCTGCTGACTGACGCTTTTATCTGAACCTTTAGGGCAGTATCCTTGCCCTGATGTTTTTGAAGAGATGTGGCCCTTCCCGAATGCCTCATTGCCTGCTCCGGCTTCAGGGGCTGGCATTCAGCATGCCAGATGGCGTTGCTCATCTGGTGAAGCACAAACAACAGACTTCAGGTCTGGCTTCAGTGTGGAAAATCTAACTTATCCATAATGCTATTGCTAAGCCTCCATTAGATTTTCCAAGATTCCAATGTGCTCTGTAATTTTTGGAAAATCCTCTGACGTTAAAAATGCCCACGCTTGGTGGTGGCACAGCCTCCCATCTCAAAGGATGACAGAAGGTCTGGGGTCCCATGCCAGGCTTAAATCACTCAGAGCAGTGGGTTCTTAACCTGTGGGTCTCAACCCCTTTGGGGGGGATCAAACGACACTTTCACAAGGGTTCGCTAAGACCATTGGAAAACACAGATATTTACATGACGATTCATAACAGTAGTAAAATTACAGTTATGAAGTAGCAATAAAATAATTTTATGGTTGGGGATCATCATAACATGAAGAACTGTATTAAAGGGTCGCAGCATCAGGAAGGATGAGAACAATTGACTTAGTAGAGTCGTGGTCCTGCTTCCCTCGGTATTTTAAAGGGGGGATGGCTACAGAAGCCTTCACATCTGCTCCTTCCTAGGCCACTAGCCCCAGTGCGTACATTGTTCATGGTTCGGGTACCAAGGGACCTGTGTGTGTGGAGACTGAGTGCAGGACAGCCAGCCGTGGACAGGAGACTGGGGCTTTTGTGAAATTTCTCCTTTCATAGGTTAGGTGTGGCAGAGAAGCAGCTAAGGTCACTTCCCTGGCGGATGGCCAGGTCTTGGATAAAAGGGTCCATGGCCAAGGTTGTGTCTGTCTGGAGATGAATCACAAATTAGGAAGTGATGGGAGTGAGATAGACGTCACCTTGATCTTAGACAACCCTCACACACTCCCCAAAGTCATGTCAGAGGAGGCAGAATTCTCTCACCTTGCTCTACACGCAAAGATCCTTTATTGCATCCTTGTTGTCATCTAAGCCTTGGGAGGGTGGCGTGTGAGGAAGCCTAAAAGTTCTAAAGCAGGGTTTAAGTGACACGGACCACTGTTATCCAGTGCCTACCTTTCGCCATGCACAAGACAAATACCCATGGTGAAATACATCTTTAGTTTCTGTGCCACGATGCAGGAAAGCACCCAAGATGAGGGCGCTAGTTGGGACCGGCATGACCTTTGTATGGGGTCAAGAAGATGCAGGTCAGTCCTTGGGGAGGTGGTGTGGAAAAGCCCACCATGCTTCTGCTGCGCCCTTAAGGGTGGGGGTGGGGAAGAAGGTCCCACCTGAGGTTCTGAACTGGAAGCTGGCACTCATGCTGGCTTGGGGTTTAAATCTCACTGCCTGTGTGGGTCAGACAGTCTTGAGCTGAGAATGCCGTGGGTGGCACTTCCGTGGTACTAAACCGCAGGACCTAGCGTACCCCCCGGAGGATCTGGCTTCCCCTAGGCTACTGTGCCTGCACAGCCAACTCTGATTTCAGGGACAAGCATCCTGTCCAGGGGGTCGCTGTGAGCCATGGTGTCCCCCAGAATCATGGAATCCATCTTTAAAGCCTCTTGCCTGCAGCCCTGCCCCTCCACTTTTGTTTACGGCAACGCCCCACGTTTCTCTGTGGAGCCTCTGCACAGTGCTGAGAGCCGTCACTGGCCCTACAGAGCAGTGTGGCTTTGCCACATGGGACACATGCTGCTATGTCATTGTGGCCTTTCTCTGTACTCTGCGGCCGCTGCACAAGCAGAGGCGGCCTTTGACATGGGTGGTGCGGCCCCGCCCTCAACACAGATCCGCTAGCGTTTTTTTCTCTTGGCCTGAGTTTTCCCAGAAGCACATCTGCTCTGTGACACATGCTAACCTCCAGCTGCAGCCATTTGTTCCCGTGGACAGCCGTGTGGAAAGAGCTGTAGGCCTCCTGCCGGCGCTGAGCCAGAACTCCGAGAACTGTGGACATGGCTCTCAGCTCAAAGCCTCTTGTTTTCCGGGGCTTCGCCGGCAAACGCACAGGAAAGCCTCCCACCCGTTTCCCAGGAGGGGGCGCCAGACTGCCTGTCTCCACTCTCAAGGCCATGAGCCCCCAAACACGTGTGGGTCATTGAGGACTCTAAACCCTCCAGGAAAGCCTCCCACCCGTTTCCCAGGAGGGGGCGCCAGACTGCCGGTTTTCACTCTCAATGACGTGAGCCCCCAAACACCTTTGGGTCACTGAGGACTCTAAACCTCCATCCTCACAGGCTTTTACATGTCTTTTACATGCCACCAGTCTATACTGTTGAGGACTGTGATTGAATCTTAAGCTCCTTATAGGCTTGTCATCCAGTCAAGGCTGTAGGAAACCCGCCTCAGCTGGATCTTGTTCAGAGGCGAGCCTTGGGAAGGCCGCCTGAGCTGAGGAGAGTTGGACACGGTCTCCGCTAATGAAGAGCCCTTTTCTTCCCTCCCCATTCTGTTTCTCTTTTCCCTTCTTTTTAAATTGTACTGGGGACTGAACCCAGGGCCCTGTGCATTCCAAGGGTTCTACCACTAAGTCCATTCTGCCACTAAGCTACATCTCCACTCTGTTAAAACCACCTTGATTGAACACACTGTCGCTCAGGCAGGGCCTCGACTTGTGTGTGAACTTGCTGCCCCCGAATCCCGACCATCTGGTTCACAGGTCTGCCCACAAGACACAGCTGGAATAATTTAATTTGTAAAGCGTTTACAGACGCATGCAAGCACACACATACACACACATGCACACACTGTCCATGTTATTACATGTTTGTTTTTCTCTCAGATTTGGAGGTGGAAGTGAGCTGAGTCCATATTATAGACAGAAAGTGAGTGTCCCCGGGGTGGCTAATGGGGACAGGTTCCATCTCTGGGGTGTACCAGTAAGCTTCATCAGCCTGATTCAGTCTGGGACAGGGACAGGGCTTGCTCTGATGGTGGCCGTCCTCCTCTACCCCCAGGCTCTTGAGTACAACATCTTTGAAGGCATGGAGTGCCGTGGCTCCCCCCTGGTAGTCATCAGCCAGGGCAAGATCGTCTTGGAGGATGGCACGCTCCACGTCACCGAAGGCTCAGGACGCTACATCCCCCGGAAGCCCTTCCCTGACTTCGTGTACAAGCGCATCAAGGCAAGGAGCAGGGTGAGTGACTTGGCTAACTTTTAAACATCTCGGATTGAGTTTAATGCCGCAGGCATTCACTAAGTACTGTGTGTCAGAAACTGAGACGGGAGACAGAAAGGTAAAGACAACTTGACCTTTTCATCCCGAAACTGAACCTGCTGGTGGAGGAGACAAGGATGACCACAGCTCTGATGATAAGAGTGGGGTAAGGACCCAGAGGAGGGAACCCCTGCTGCAGAATCACGGATGAGGATGCTATGAAAGAATACATTTGGGGTTTGAAGTTTACATAAGAGTTTCCCCGAGCCAAAGAACACTAGGAAGATGGGTGTGTGAACACAGGGTGTTCAGGGTGTGGTGATCAGCCCGTGGTTAGGGCTCGGGAACTGAGGTGGGGAAGGGGTGGAGCTGTAAGGGAAGTAAAAGAAGAGTGAGGTTAGAGAGACAGACAGTTTGACCTTGAAAATGACCTCAGACCCTCTTCATAGTATGATCAGGGACTTCTTGGAGGGTTCAAAGATGATGTGACCATGTGGGAAAGAATTGTAAGAAACCAGCAGAGTAACCCGTTGGGGACCCACTTTGGGAGGGAGGGCTTTGGCCTGGAACTTCAGGGGCTGATTGAGTATCTGTGCCTATTGTACTTGTCCGTAAGGGGGGCCTAGTCCCCAGGCATCCCTGGTCTGTCTCCTAATCTCCAGGTATCCCTGGCCTGTCTCAGCTGCTGTTCCATCGCACTGGGAGGGTTCAGGGAAGATGTCCTCTGTGAGTGAGACACGGATTGTGGGGTGATTGTGTGTTTCAGCTGGCCGAGCTGAGAGGGGTCCCTCGTGGCCTGTATGACGGACCTGTGTGCGAGGTGTCTGTGACACCCAAGACGGTCACTCCAGCCTCATCGGCTAAGACGTCCCCTGCCAAGCAGCAGGCCCCACCTGTTCGGAACCTGCACCAGTCTGGATTCAGTTTGTCTGGTACGGCCAGGGCTGGGTGGTTCTGGGTAGGTTCTGTAGAGCCAGTCTGGGGCTTCGCAGAGAATGCAAGGTAACAACCGTCTCGTTCTTTCCCTGATGGGGAGTGTTCCAGCCACCAGACGTGAATCTGTCAATGACAAACTGGGCTTCAGAATCTTCAGATCAGATTTTGTGCTGTGGGATGCTGAGATACCCACCCTGTGCGTGACCCCTTTGAGACCGAAGGGACAGTTTCTGGTCTGTCACGTCCATTGTTAAAGAGGGACTGTGGCAGATGAGTGTGGAGCCTGGAATCTCTGCAGCCCGCCTCACTCAGGCCTTCTGTGCCTCAGCCCTCACCTGTGCGGTGAGTCTCAGCACCGGCTCCCCGTGGGCCTGCTGTGACATCCACTGAGTTAACTCACTTTAGTTGCCCACGGCAAAGCCACTGGACATGTGTGAACCATCTGCAGGGGTAAAACCTGTGACAATCCTCTCAGTGACAGAAAAGTAGACTTTCTGTCTTGGAAACTTCCTTCCCCTCTTTCTTCTGGCCCACGATGGGGCCTTCCGTTCCCCCAGCTTCCAAAGCTTAGACAGACATCCACGTCCCGTGGCCTGTCAACAGCACAGTTTATTACACAGACTCCCTTTTCTTGCCACATCTGCTGGGTTTTAGAACATACCTTGTGTGCCCATGGCGGATGAGGAATTTCCCACTTTCGGGACTCTTCGAGGTGTTTTGGTTTGGGAGACAGGCCTTAAGCCACAGTTTTGTCCCTAAAGTATGAGATCCGTCACAACGCCTATCGCCATGTTATTTACATAGATGGCGCAGGTTGCCAGACCTTTCTGTGAAAGAAATGCTTGCATTTTTAAAATTAGAAAAGTATCATGTAGATAATGAAATATTTTGTGACTAAGACCCAGATCCAAACATAACATGTGGTGGGCAGGGCAGATGGCTCAGCAGTTAAGAGTAAACTCTGATCTTGTGGGGGATCCAAGTTTGTTCCTAGCGACCCTGCTCAGATGGCTCGCAACCGCTTGTAACTCCAGCTCCAGGAGATCCAGCGCCCTCTGCTGGCCTCCTCAGGCACTGCACTTATGTGCATGAACCCCACCCCTTCATATATATATATGAAACAAACACACAGTGCATCTGTGTTTCATATACATGTGACAAAGTCTTGAAGGGGATTTCATACAGTATTTTTAGTATAGGTCTGACTGCAGTCTGTCCTAGCAGGTCAGGTGTGGAATTTTCCACTGTCACATCATGTCAACTCTCCAGTGCTTTTAGAGTTTAGGGCATTTTGGGTTTGGGAACTCTAGATCCAGTATTCTTGACCCGGACCGTTCGTACTCCTCCTGAGTGAAGAGCCATACTCACTAGGACCTTGAATCTAACTGCTTTCCCCAGAATATATCGCTTGCACCAAGTATGACCTGTTGCTGAATGGGGGTCCACTCTACTTCCTGTAGTTTGAACCTTTAGTGAGGTTTGGGAGAAGGGGTAAGGTTGTGTGTGCTTGGTTCAGTTTTTCCCCCAGGAGTGTACCTGAGCAGACCTCAGGAGTCTGATTTGATTTCACCTTTGTTTTAACTTTTTCCTAGGTGCTCAGATTGACGACAACATTCCCCGCCGCACCACCCAGCGCATCGTGGCGCCCCCTGGTGGCCGTGCCAACATCACCAGCCTGGGCTAAAGCCCCTAGGCCTGCAGGCCACATGGGGACGGGGGATGGGACACCTGAGGACATTCTGAGACTTCCTTCCTTCCTTCCATTTTTTTTTTTTTAATTTTAAAGAGCCTGTGATAGTTGCTGTGGGCAGCCAGTTCCTGGGGCTTCCTCTTGGGCCCCCCACACTCGGTCTCCCCTTGGAGTTTCTGAATTCGCTCACCCAAGTCCCTACACAGTTGTGAACACCACACCCAAGCCTAGCCACCCACCCCACACGGAGCTGCATCTCACACGCAGACACACACCACCAAGCAGATCCCAGTGAGGGTGCCCCACCACACCCTCGGCTGTGTGGTTAGCACCTTCCTGTCCTGGGAAGATATAGTGAATTGCCCTGAGCTGCCTTCTTTTCTTTTAAAATATTTTTTAAAAAGGGGTTTTCTTTGTGGGGCTGGGGAGGGATGGAATGGGGAGGGATAAGGGAAGTTTTTTTTTTTTTAATACTAAATTGAAAGCCTGATTCAATATTAATCCACGGGTCTTGAACTGGACATCGTAATGATGCAATTATGTAACCTTAGTGCAGATCCGAGGCTGGCAGGCTGCTGCTGCCCCTCTGGAGAAGCTCCACGCATCTCCATCGCCATCCCTTACTCTTCCGGGTCAGCTGTTGTGAAGAGGCGGGTTTTCTTCGTTGACCTAGATTTTGCGGCAGATTAGACCTTTTGAGGGTTCTCCTCACTCTTTTCCCACATCTTCTGTCTGTTCTGGCTTTTTCTCCTGCACTCACGGAGAGATTGTGATTGCTTTGCGTTTCCCCGACAGTGTTCTCCTTACCCTGCAGCCTGCCCTTAAAGCCGGGCATTGCGATTTGGCCGCAGGCACAGCCTGGGAGGACCCTACCTAGTTTTGTACCCACGGCCATAGTTTTGTGCAGTCCAGATTTCTGTTAAGATTGGTGCTATCCAGTTCCCATCACTAGGAGGTGTCTGAGTTTGAGGCTTGCCAGACACAGGGGTGACCCGGATTATGACACCAATATTGTCATGTGTGGGCCCAGAATAGGGTCACATGTGTGGAAACATGAAGAAGAATTAGGCCGCAGAAGTGACGGAGGTCCTGGTCAAATCTGTAAATCCAGTTCTCAAACTCATATGACCCTATTAAGCTGGGGCCAGTGTCTCTGTGGAGGAACCAACCAAGCTGGGGCCAGTGTCTCTGTGGAGGATCCCTTCCCAGTTTTTCCCAGGAAAAGCTGAGAATTCTCAAACACTAGGTCTCCTCAGTGTGTGCATGTGTGTGTGTGTGTGTGTGTGTGTGTCTGTGCAGGAGGAACATTTCTTTTTTCTGTCCAGTTATTTCAAAAAGTCTAACATGATGTGGGAAGCCCTTCTAAGGGTGGAAATCTTGGGGGGAATAATTAGACTTCAAGCCTGTTTTACAAGAGGAAAAACCCTGTCTTAGGAAACAGTATCTCATGGGAAGAAAACTGTACAGATTGAATGCATGGCCCACTTAGAGATCCTGTCACCACTTAGAGACCATGTCACCTCATGTCGGTCACCCTTCCTCTCTTCCTGTCATAGTGACAGCTTTTCATTAGCTGGCTTCTTTCTGTATTTGCCGACTTCTGTTATACTTCCTTCCAAATGTGTTTCCAGGTCCGTGTGAGCAGTGTTAGGTCCACAGGCCCTTTACGAATCCAGTCTGCTGTGTAAAGCAGGGCCGCAGAACACAGTGATGCTTTGAGTGATCACACATTTTGCCTTTGAGATTAATGGTTGGGGTTTTGGTTTGTTGTTCATTTTTGTTGTTTTTAAAGGTAAATGGCACTTTGAAACATCGGTTGACTTAATATATTTGCTTTTCCCCCCTCTTACCTGCACTTAGAGAGGAAATTCGAACAAGTTGGAAACCACCTTTCTGTTCGTTTGTTTGGGTTCTGAGAAACCCTTGCAGCTCTTCAATACTCACCGTCTTCCTGCTGTTTCTTGTTCGGGGCCGTGGCCCTGTCGGTTGTTTTTAGATCATTTTCTTAAAAACCAAACCAAACCAAACAGTTTCAAACCTGAAGATTCCCGCAGTCCGTGTAAGCATGTTTGCCCGTCGGCTCGCTTTCTGTGTCTGTACAATGAATGTCCTATGTAAATGCTAAGATAAGTCAGCACAGTGTCTCAGAACTGAATAACTGCAGTGACTTGATGCTCTAAATCAATGTAGGATTTACTGCTAGATGGTTTTTAACCCTTGAACTTGTGATTGTGACCCATGAGGGGGGGACCTTTCAGTGCTAAAGCTGATCATGTGTGTAGCCAGGAAGGTACTTTCGGTTTTTTTTTTTTTTTTTCAAAAAAACTTTTTGTTTTATTTTTTTGTAACCGCTGTCTTAATGGCAAAATAATTATGGTAAAATACAAGTCTCGTGTTTATTATTCCTTAAGAAGAAGTCTGTGTTATATTACCACTGAACACCCAATAAAGCAGAATGTGGTTGTTTCAGAGGCTTTGTCTGTATTGAGACCCTTACAGTGTGTCGGCTTCCTCTCTGAAGTTACTCATGGGGAAGCTCAGGGCGTGGCTTAGATTCAGGCCATGGACCAGCTCCTGAGTGCTTACCCCCATGCCACAGGTTGCTATGGAAACCCTGGTGACAGATGAGTTCTCATCGCAGGCAATGCCACATCCGGGGCCACAGAGGCTGAGGATCAGTGTCTGAAACCCCATCCTGGAGAGGAGGCCCTGAGCCTCCGGGAGTGCCACGCCAGATGCAAGCCTGGGATCCAGGTGGGGCCACAGGAGCTGAGGCGGGTGTTCCGGGTAGGCGCTGGGCTTCCTTCCGATGTTTTTATGGGAAAGAAGACCGCCTTGTGTGTCCTGACACCTCAGTAAAGGCGATGTCAAAACCAAGAGCAAGACCTAGGCTTCCACCCTCAGCCCGTGGCGGAGGATGCTGGTAAGGGTGAGAGGCATGCTGGGCTCTCAGTTCCCTGCTTCAGGTCGCATTGGCTCTGGCTGAAGAAGGAGCATGCTTTGGGCATTCTGGGCCGTCCTATGATAGGGCTGGTTTACCCCTGGGCCCCATAGCATCTTATACCATCATCATCATCTAAACTGGATATGAGGTAAAATTCAGAATTATACAAGCCCAGCCTGATGGTTCATTAGGGTAAATGTCAAACACTCAGAAGGCTGAGGCAAGACTGGGTAACGTAATGAGGTCCTTCCTCCAAGAAAATATCAAGGAAAAGGAAAAAGACAATGTTATTATTACAAGCAAAGAGATGGGAAAGTAATAGGAAAAACAAGGCCCCATGTGACTTAGAGCAAGGCACCTACTTGGATCCTTTAAACACAGTGAACTACAAAAACCAGTCACAACATTGACTGTAGTTAAGGGTCTTTAATTGAGATGGTAGTTCCAGAACGAAAGGCTTGGGTTCTCCTGGGAGCCACAGTGTCGAGTGTGTGGGGCTGCCTATGTGACCAAGTAAGTCAAACAAATGTGAGAAAGGGGAGCAGAAAGTCTTCTTCAACATGAAGAACCTGTGTGGGGATAATGAAGAGCCCAGCTCCATCCTGTCATCTCCCAGACTCCACTCACACCAAGAAGGGCCTGTGGGCTCTAGCTCACAAGTCCACATTCCACTCAACCCCTCAGGAGACTGCTCTGTGCAGGACAGGCCCCACAGAGGGCCCTTCAGGCACTAAGAGGTGCGGATCTACTTGGACAGGGACTGAAAGTGATCCAGATACTGAGCTGTGCTCCAGGCTGTGGCTGGGAGTGTCCCATCCACTGTGGGCCACTCTTGCGTGGCAAGAGGCATACTGGAGGAGGCTGCGTCTAGAGGTGGACCAGGTACTAGTGGCATGGTTAAGTCCGGGCAACTGTGTGCCTGTTGGTAGATTTCACTCTACACTAGTGGTTCTCCATCTCCCTAATGCTGTGACCCTTTAATACAGTTCTTCATGTTGGGCTGACTGCCCCCCCAACCATAAAATTATTTTGTTGCTACATCGTGACTGTAATTCTGCTACTGTTATGAGTTGTAATGTAAATATTTGATACGCAACCCCCATGGGGTCGTGACTCACTGGTTGAGAACAGCTGTTCTAGACACATGCATAAAAGCTCAAAGAGGACAGGAGAAAATATGAGGGGCGAGCTAGGAAGTCTGTGACATGCCTCGCCTTGACCTTGTGGTTAAGCCTTGCACTGCTCCGAGCCAAGGCCCCATCCGCAGGCAAGGCTCTGTAGCACGCGTTCTTTTAGGAGAGGTGGAGCTGGCTCTTCTCCCATCGGCTGTGATGGAGTTCAGGCCCCATCTTGCTCCTGAGCAGGAGTGTTTGTAGAAAACCTGGCTCTCAGTACAGGACCTGGAAGTAGGCTCACCTGCTCAGTCTCCAGCTTTCCCAGTCCTTTGGTGAATGGCAAGCCAGGGATGGAGTATGGGGGAGGGACAGGGAAGTGCAAAGGGACACCAGGACACTGCTAGAAACAGTGTCCTCTGTGTCCCTTCTAAGAATCTAAATACCAAGAAATGATTGATAATCACCCAAGGTTTGTTTTGGATGACCGCAAAGACTATTGGAGATGTAGGGGAAGTTGGAGATGGTCTCCATTGTTTCCAAGCAATCTGTTGGTTAAAGTCACGCAGCTGACAGCTAGCATCCATTATGACACTGGGTGCTATGAGCTGTGTGTTCATTAACAGAGCTAATCTTTGCAAAAAGTCATGAAGAAGAGGCATTGTTCTGGTGAAGTGAAAGGAGACGGAACACAGAGAGTCAAGGCAGTTTTCTTAGAAGCAGCTTTGAGTCTGCAATCCTGGGACCAGGAAACACACACACACACACACACACACACACACACACACGTGCTTTCAAGGGAGAACTTAATACTGCAGAAAGACCTAAGGAGGCCAGAAGAATGTATCAGATGCCCTGGCACTGTAGTTACAGATGATCGTGAGCCACCATTCAGGAGGTGCTGGGATCTGAACCTGGATCCTTTGCAAGAGCAGCAAGTACTCTTAACCACTGAGCCCTTTCTTGACACCTCAAGTATATGTGCTTTTTGGAGACACCGTTTCCTTAGGTATCTCAGCCTGGCCTTGAACCCATGATTCTTCTGCCTCTGCCTCTGTTTCCTGAATGCTGAAATGACAAGCACACGCCACTCCACTCAATCAAAAATATGTGGAGAAAAGAGAAACAAGGCAAACTGGATTTCCTAGACAGAAAGCCATTATTATAAATGAGTAATTATGAGAGTGATAGCAATATAAACAAAGTAGACAATAGCAAGGAAATAAGAAGCTAGAATAGATCCACAAGAGATGCAGAAAACACATTTCGGTCTCCGAATTTTCACTGTGGTCATCCTGCACACTTTAGTTTGCACAGCTGGCTTGCCCACATTCCCTCCTGCCTGACAGCCTGCACAGTCTGTTTCCCTAGTACTCTCCACCCTCTTACCCCTACCTTCCCATCCAGGATCTCAGAAGAGCGCGTAGATGATGGCAATTGAAGACATACCTCTTACTTGCTCTGTGCATTAAGTAACCCAGGCTTTCCCTCCATAAGTGGCTAGCTAGCCCGAGACAGAAATGTGTCTTACCTTATTTTACTTACCTTGGGCTGTAAGTAAAATAACGTCTATTAGAATCCTTTGCAAAAACAAACATTTGAAAAGGGCAAAGTGACCTAGATACTAGATGCCTTGTTACTTGATCAAACTCTGGCATCAGGGTAGGGCTGGCGCCCACAGGGGTGACAGATGAGGAGAGTCCTGAGCGCCAAGGCCTCTGCTGCTGCTGGAAGAAGCCCAGCTTCTGCTCACGGCTGCTTAGCCTGAGGGCTCGTGAAAGGAACCTGTGGAAGACTGGAGAAGACCTCGCACCAGGGCTTATGAAGTGTTATGTCTAGACAATACATGACAGAGCCCTGACACCTGAGCCCCACTGGTGTTAAAGTTACAGAAATGACCTTTGTCCTAACAAGCACGTGTTTCATGCAGGCCCACAGCCATCATGACTTGTTCAGGAGGAAGAGATGGAGGGCAGAGAAGACGTCTATATAGTCCCATATATTCCTCCAGTCATGACCTTGTCTGGGGACTGAGGATTTTAGTTTTATCTTCTTTATTCCTAGATCACACACACACTCACACACACTACACACACTATATATATATATTCATATGTATATATGAATATACATTTGAATGTGCTCTGAATGCACTTGAAATCTTATCCTCTTACACTTTTTCTAAGCATGGACTCAGATGCAGTCTCTCTCTCTCTCTCTCTCTGCGCATGTGCTAGAAGCCAGATGTCACCCTCAGGTAACAATCCTCAGGATGTCATCTACTTTGTTTCCTCCCCCTTTGAGACAGGATCTCCCATTGTCCTGGACCCACTGATCATGCTGTTTGCTGGTTGGCCAGTAAGCCTGCAGGATCTCCCGTCTCTGTCTCCTCAGCACCAAAATCACAAGGCTTTTTACATGGGTTCTGGGCACTGAACTCAAGCCCTCATGCTCACACAACAAACACTTAGTGACTGAGCCATCTTCCTAGCTTTCCTGTTCTGATGGTCCTCTTGCTTGGGTCTCCCTCTCACCCCAAAGATGCCTTTATCATGCATGCGCAGATGTCTGGGGAGAAAGCGCTGCTCTCTCCCATTTCTCTGTGATGTTGTGCGCCCTCTGCTGGGAGGAGATGCATCCTTCCTCTCATGTGCTTAAGCAGGCATGAGAAAGCTGGCAATTCAGTCCTAGATGGCCCGCATCAGAAGTGGGAACAGGACGAGGGGGTCAGACTCTCCGCTGAGCACAGAGCACCATCTCACTGGAGGAAAGGAAGATGGATCTATAGCTGTATCTCTCCCACCACGTGCACCCTCTACTCATCCTTCCCACCCTATGGTCTCCACCTGTATTAGCCACCCCCTAGCTTCTCCTCTGTACCCCCAGGATCAAGTGGTAGGCACTTTAGCTTTTGATATAGGTTTCATAATTTCCTCCAACCTATGAAGAACAGCCCCAACTATAGTCTCCTGGCCAACCAGCCCCTGTGCACAGTCTGAATCCAGAGGCTGACTCCACAGGGGGATAGTCGACCTGTCCGTGGCTTGAGTGTTCCCTGGTAATCCATGCTAGTGCCAGCCAGTAAAGACGGAGTGGGAACCATGGCTCAACCACGGGTGCCTAGCTTCTCTCCAGGCACTACCCTGTGCAAATGTGCTGTGGAAACCTAGTGGGCCACACTAGTTTTCTTTCCATGTGAATCCACGCTTCCCTCTGAGCATCTGCCTTCCTCTGCTTTTTCTCAGGTGAACCTCTCACATCCAACTCTATAGATGTGTCCACGATCAATTCCTTATCCAATAAGACCCCTTCCCCACTGCACAGTACCGCCTTTCTCCAGGAAGGTCCTTCCTCATCTCGGTCTGCACATTCTTTAGGATGGCTGCAGGTTAATTGTTACTTCTGTCTCAGTTCC